ACCGGAGACATCTCTACTGCGAGTAACTGGGGAGACTAGTCAGAGGTAAAACAGTGACTTGATGGGGCACTATGGCATTTCTGTTGTCGCTTCGCGTACAGTAGACCGCAGAAGTTACACAGTGTTCGAGGTCCTGCTGGACCCTCGCGCCACCGCGGTGTCTCTTCAGTCCGGCAGGATGTGCATGACATTGTCGTGGGATGGGCAGAATTCGGCTGCTCGAGTTGCAAGTCTTGCCGTTGCCGTTGGTGTCGTTGGTGCTTTGGCGGATGGCTTTGCCTCCTGGACCTCTTGTGCGAGACTCCCAGACCTTCGGCCTTGCTCATGGCCTTGTCTGCATCCAGCTCGCTATGCGATGATTCCTGATCTCTATGTAGATAGCATGGCGCGTCGGCATGGCATTTGCCATGAGGGGATACGGTCTCGTTTGCCAGGGCCGAGGCTATAGCTGATGTCTGGAAGACAGTAACACTGCCGAGTGGATGGCCGACGCATTCCGGTGATTGGTCGCTGCACTGGTATTGTAAATATAGGCACATAGATTCTCTGAATGCTGCTTACCTGTGAGCATGAAGACTCGTGTTTTGATGTTCCCTTGCGAAAGCTGGAAAAGGATTTGGCTCGTGGGCGGGATGCACGTTGCTGCCGACAACGAGGGCGTTTGCATTGAGTAGTCGTATCTATTAGCCTACTCGATGGAGAGGGAGAGGGAGAAGGGGATGAAATGGTCTTTGATGTAAGTGAATCGTACATTGTGTGAAATGTGCGGCGATCTTGATCAACGGTGAGAGATCGGGGATCGAGCGGTGTTTATCCAAGTTGACAGCAATCGAGGGATCTGCAGGGTCTAGTGTCCGCACCGTACCTCCGCAAACCAAATTCGTCTGGAATGATGTCACCCTCCTGCGTGTGAACGGCGATTGGACCAGTTGGTTCTCAGGGTTCACAAGTCGCTAAGCTTTTCGGTCAACTGCGGGAATTTAAGCGGGCTTAAAAATAGTGCGCAGTACATATAACACTAAAGTACAAAGCGTCGGAGGAATACAAGCATTCTAGTCCTTGAACATCAAGTCAGAAGCAACAATAGCCAACATTATTCTTCAGTCACGTTCTGTAATATACTTCTATCTCATGCTTAACAGGGGTGCTTGGAAACTTGGAAGTTGGCAGCTTTGCAGGATACAACTCACAAATGTCTGACCCAAGACAGATGACAGATGGCTTTACGGTAATGCAACGCTCATAATGATGTAACCCCCGGTCGGTCCGGTGACAAATCCCCACATACCCTGACTGTCTTTTTTCAATATGGCATAAGACCCTGCCGATCTATCAATCCGTCCATAAGATCAAACCCAATTTTCACATTTCCCCCCTCCAAATTTCTGACATACCGATTACTTCATATGGCGTTTTCCAAATGACCATTTATCTTTTCCTCACTTAGGCGCGTCCAGTAGGCAGATAAGATATGCCACCCCACCAACAGCAAATGCCTCGGCGCAACACCAACCTTTTGATTCACGACATATTCAGCGCCGACGAAAACACAACCGTTCCGTGGGAAGCAATTTGTGAGAGGAAATAATACAAAACATAGCCCCGGCTCCCAGTAGCTAACAGGTCTAGCCCAACCAGCTGATGTCGAATGGCCTGTGGAATGTCTTGTTTCTCGTGAGGCAAAGCGCCACTGTATAACACAACAAGAAGTAAACAATCTTGTAGACTTTGGCAGCCTCGAATACACGGGCGAAATCAAGGATCGGTTGGTCTGTCCCATCTGTATTGGCGTCTTTATAACTCCGGTGATCACACCCTGCGGGCATCTATTCTGTCTGGAGTGTATACAAAGGCATCACAGGACATGCCAGTGTTGTCCCCTGGATAGAAAGAGGATTCAGGTAAGCAGAACACGGCTTGCCAGGGGAGTTATGGATGCGATTGGAGCCTTGATTGTACGGTGCCCCAACTCCAAGGCTGGATGTACTCGTGAAATGAGGCGGGATTGCATAGTTGAGCATCTGATAAACAGTTGCTATACTGCCAAGATGTCGCAAACAAGTACATCGCAAATACATTCAGACGTGGCATAATATACATACTCGACACCTATATGTTTGAACTTTTGACTATATAAGCTTAATACAATACTCTGATAAATATAATCCAGGTAACAGACTAATTACTTCAATTACTGTCTTACACGATTGCTCTGGTGTTATGGAGATAGTATTTGTCTTGGTTATTGTGAAGTGCTTAACAGTTCGTGACGATAGGTAACCGAAGCATTAATCACTGGACTTTACCCACCGATCCGGCTCACGCAACCCAAAAAGATTCCATCAAGCCTCTGCGCTTCAACTTTCGTAGTGAACCTCTACTCATCAGACCCGCGGCCCTCGTGGGCTAGTTTTACTTACGGACGGGTTGTTGATTGTAAAGGAGCTTGCACGTTTGATGCGTTATAGGTCACGTTGATTGCGAAGCATATACTCTCATAGATATAAAGAGAGATGAAAGGATTCTATTATACCCTGGGATTCCTTGTTGCTGGAAAGAACCTCTTTGTGAACGGCAAGACTTCCAGCATTTGGCAAACCCTACCCTCTACATACAGCGGTATGCTTTCTTGGCCGGGCCCTCAACATTTCTCTTTATTCAAGTCTGCATATCGGCAGTCCATGCAATTATATCCCTGAAATGTTTTTCTGCCCTCTCTGAGTTGAGGGCAAGTACCCAAGTTTTTGTCTATGAGTCCGAGCTGATTGGCTAGGTGGCAACGCTCCCATCGTGTTTCCGTCTCCTTGTATTTGCAACGGCATATCCTGATAATCTCATTCGGCCGGCACATGATGACCGGATGCTGGGTAGTCCCTCAAGATGCTGTTTTGTCTCATGGGTATTCGGGTGCTGTCTTTCGGTATGAATGTTTTATGAACCATCGATTGGTGGACAATGATATGTGTTTTATGTACCAAACTCATTTTCACTTTCTTATTCATTGTTGGAAATACTCTAATCACAAATGTGTAGAGCCACATACTCACGGATTGCTATTACAATGATTGTCAGAAACATTGACGGTGCGTGATTCTTAAGTCCGAAATCTACTCCCGTGACTCACTTTCTTTACCGCTGGATAACAGAACAGATGCTTTATTTACTGAGAAGCCATCTGCAAGTCTTTGCAAAGACTCACTTTCCGTCCTTTTGGTCTTTTGTATAGTGTAGTCTACTGATGCTTCTGGTTCTGGTTCTCAAATGATTCTTCCTTGCCCTTGGGCTTAGACACTTCAGGAGTCAAATGGCCGAGAGAAGGTGCATGCGATCTCTGTTCACAGACACTTCAATGGAAGCTACGTGAACTATTCAAGCAAAACTATAACATCAATTCGAAGTACACCCCTGAGGATATATGGCAAGTCTATGAACCTGCCCCCTGTTGCTTCTTTTCTATAGCTTTCCAACATGTCGAGCACATCCATGGAAGGATTCGAGGATCGCTCCTATAAAAGCCAGGGCATTTCGACGTGTTGAGATATGGGGTATCTCTCGAGCAAGTTCTCCACTCTGTAGGGAATGCCATTGTCGCGCCGCAGTTGCAACGCCATTCCTGTGGAGTCATAATACACATGATGATTGTATACTGTCTCTGGTCGCACTTGATTATAGATTTATTCTTTCTTTCATTGCCTTTCAGTAGTCTCTGGTTATGTTTGCGGTAGAGTTGGAGGAAGCTGCTCAATTTATACTCCGCAAAGGGCCACTTTGTCTAGTCAAAAAGTCCATAAACACCATTCACAGTCCCTTCTCATGCAACAGCTCTAGAAAGATGGTTTTCTGCAACCTGAAAGAAGGTCATCTGCCAGCTACGGTGCGCTGGATTCGAGCGGCATATCACTGCTTTTTGGGCACAGCTGAACACATTCATCAAGGGCAGAAGTCCAGAGAATTCGCTGGCCATGTGTGAATCAGCGCAGAGCACCATACAGCTTAGTGAAGCTGGGAACATTCTTTGCATGATTGGCTCTATCGTGAATCGAAACATTTTGCATTTTGCACTGTTCTTGACTGTAAATAATTGCATGTCATTCAAGCTCCTTAAGGTTCCAATGTCACTTCCGACCTGAGCGAGTGACTGTGCACATGAGCATGGTCACTGGCAGGATGTGCTGCCACGGTAAAGGCTCCGATTGGGTGACGAAATGATGAACATGAATCTTTGAACTTGAGAGAACAAAGCTGAAACGGATGTACGGCTACGTGTCAGCTTATTAGTCTTATTTAACGCCCTCTAAGACCTACGCTAGTGATCGGGACAGGCCCGCGGGTTTGCGGCCGCCGGAATGTCAAGCAAAAGCCTAACCCCTAGCAAAGTCAACGTCAACCTCAGAATTGACGTCTGCTTACTTTCACAGGTAAGACCATGGCTTGTAATCGGACGCGTGTGGGTGTTCGTACTTGAGCTTTATTATGATCTGACCGGCCCAATTGCAGATATCTGACCAACAACGAAGCCTAAGTCCACCAATCAGCTCTCGTAATACGAGATGTTGAGATGAACTGATCGCACAAACCCCTGAAAAACTCTAGGCAACGTTATCCGAGTGCGAACGATGCGTAGCCTTGTAAGGTAAAGCGATGCCCTCAGCCTCAATCAAAGGTGCCAGATTGTCCCGAAACGCGACTCGATTTTGTGCCCGCGGACGCCCGACGGAATGGATCAGTCCAATCACGACCGCACTAGCGTCACCGTCACGAACAAGGGCCACGACGACCGACGGAACGAGACTAGGTGATTGGCTAAACAACCCTGCTAATTCACCTTGAAGCCAACCGAGCGTGTCACCATCTGACAGTGGTCAACTATTCTATTTTAATAAGCTTTACTATAAAATTGTTATGTCCATGCTTCTGAAGCTTGATAGTTAAAGAGCTTAATTCGCTGAACCGTAAACACTTTAACCCTTCTACCATCTGCCGAGGTCTACAGCTGCACCATGTCGTCAAACATGATCGACCGCCTTCGTAGCAAGAAGAGCGCCAGAAGCCTAAACGACAAGGACAAGGTCTTGAGGAAGCTCAGCCCTGTGTGAGTGCTATCCCGTCCTGCAGGCTCAGAGGTAGAGACAGCTAACGTCTTGCAGTGAACACCTCCAAGCTGCTCATTATTCGTTAGGAGCAATTATTGGCTGTGCGATATCATGTCGTTATCGCATCCCCGGAGCATTACTCACCTCAGACGCTGCAGCATTCCAAGTTATTGTTGAGAATGCCTTTGCCCGTGCTATCCTACAGCATCCGCTGTTCACAGTCGGACGAATCAACGCGGATTCCAAGAAGCAATACTGGGTACGACTTGATCAGATTGACTTGAGTAAGCACATAGAATGGCGGACTGTCTCTGATCAAGGATCGTACGAATCAATCCTTCATGCTACCTTGGAAAGGCAAGTCAATGAGCCTTATACGAATCTCGAAACCCAACCTGGCTGGAGGGCGACTGTACTCAAACCAGCCGAATCAAACTTTATCGATGTTATCTTTGCCTGGGAGCATACCGCGGCAGATGGAAAAAGCGGAAAAGTCTTCTAGGACAGTCTTTTCACTTGTTTCAATACACCAGATGATGATACCGTGATTCTCAGAGACCGCATCTTCGAGGTCCCAAACACAGAACTCACGCCTCCCTTGCATCACTTGGTCAAGTTACCCGTCTCCCTGCATTTCATCGTCGGTGAATTCGGGCGGGATATTATCGCTTCGATAAAAGCGAAAGAACTACCTCACATGGCGACATGGGCACCAATACCAACAGAACCGTCGACGACGAGCATGGTGGCGACGAAAGTTGGGAAAAGTGCACTAAAGCCTGTCCTCAATGCGTGTCGTCAGCACGAGACGACTTTGACGGGGCTTATGCACGCACTCATTGCGGTATCGATGGCGATGAGACTGGCGGAGATCAAAGCTTCTGCGTTCTTATGCGGTACACCTGTTTGTCTGAGACAGTTTCAGAAGCCGGGACATCCGAACATCGATATGAACAAGACGGCCATCAACAGCGTGGCATACTGGCCGTTTACGTTTGACGAAGAATTTGTTGCCAAGGTTCGGGAACAAATCAACGAGGCTCAAACAAAGCCGAACATGAGCGCAATTCTGGAAGAAACGGTCTGGTCCTCTGCTAAAGCGATACGGGATGGTCTATCTGCCAAGCTGGATTTGGGTACCAAGAATGACCATATCGGACTAGCCAAGTTTGTGAAGGACTGGCAGTCTTTCGTCAAGGACCATGGCAAAACACGATCATATTCATGGGAGATAAGCAATCTTGGCGTTATACAGGGGAAAGCGGAGGGTGAGGGCGACAAGTGGGCTATTGAAAGTGCGACATTCACGCAGACTGCGCCCACGTTTGGCTCGGCGTTGACATTCAGTGTCATCTCTGCTCAAGGTGGGGACTTGGTGGTGACGAATACGTGGCAGGTTGGGGTTGTTGAGGCGGATTTGGCTCTTGGTGTGAGCTCTGATTTGGAAGGTTGGTTGAATGAGTTGGGGAGCACTGGGAGCATCAGCTTTGGAGCGGTTGCGGTGTCGAACTGAGTTGAAGGAGTTGTCGAAGCTTTTCTTGGGAGAGCGTTGTGTTGACTATCGACGATACCACTGCAGCGAAAGACTTTGTACAAATATACCTCTTGCTTTCTACATACTTCGTCCGTTATCCAGTGTGATCAGTTACTAACGAGTAAGTCGTCAGAGATATGCTAGCTAAAGAAACGGCTCACCCTCCGCACGCTCCTAAATAGTATATAATTTAAGTTATTTCTTATATACTATAAAGGCAAGATTACTCCAGGTAATCTGCATAAATAAAGAAACAAAGAGAAGGGAAAAAGCAGTAGCCAACCAAGAGTTCACGGTTCCTCAGATGAATAGTATCGCCTGGACATTAATCAGAGACATTCCAAGCCGTGGAGAACCATGCCTGTCGGTGCATGGAAATTGCGCTCAATGCATGTGGCGACGGCTCTTCAAGCCACGGCGCGCACGCCTACGGCTAGCACAGCCGGTCTCTGTGGGTACGGCCTCGTCGGGAACAGTCGTGTAGTTCGTAACAGGAGTGGTGCTGTCGCTGCCACTTCCACTGTTACCACTAGTCCATACAGCCGGGCCGGGAATCGGATACTCCTTGAAGCCGCCATAGATGCTGAAGTTAAAGGACGGGTCATCCTTCTTGTAAGCACCAGGGAACTTGACCGTTGGACCGGGCACACCACTGCCACCGCCAGTGACTTTGACTTGAGCGCAGCTAGAAGGCGTTAGGGTATGTGTGTTCATCGAGGAATTGGTGGACATGAAAAGAAATAGAGAGGATTAAACTTACGTGTTGTAGAACTCGGCCTGACCGACATGGGCGCCGTGTACACCTAAGAGAGAAGTCAATATGTATATCCTGGACGGGCCGCAATAGATTATACCGATATGCTCGGGACGAATGAGATACTCTCCATCAGGAAGGTCAGCGGGAATGGTAAACTCGATACGATCCTTGTCCCAGGTGCACCAAGCGTCACGCGTGAAATCTCCATCCTTGTTGCACACGCTTTCCTCGAAGATCTTAAACCACTCCCCATCACCCTCGTAGGCGTCCGCAGTGGTCGGGGCCTTCGACATGTAGACGAGGGCAGGCCCAGGATGCTGCATGGTGGCACCAACGGCGAGCTTCATGGCGAGCTTGGACCCAGCCTTGACCTCGGCGGTTCCGGTTTGGCTGGCGAAGGTGAAGGCGCCTTTGTTGCAGCGGAAGTCGAGCTTATCGGGGGTCATATCGTCACGGATGTTGTCCCATTTCGTTGGGTTGTACTTTGCATCACGGGTATTGGAGCGGACGTATTGCATGCTATTCGTTTCCTTGCCGTCAATGACGAGAACATCGAAGAAGTAGTGAGTTGAGACGAAGGGCACTATGGCCGCGAGACAAACGAGTGAGATCTTCATCTTGTTGGAGGTAACGAGAGTAAAATTGTCAAGTCTAGCTTGAACGAAGGGAAGGAAAAGAAAAGAGAATGACTAAAGAGAGAATAAGACAAGACACTGAAGCCAGTTGACTGCTGAGTTGGAAGGAATGTAACTAAGAAACATCAATAACGAGGTTATATAGCCCTTTTATATAACTCTTCAGTAACAATCACTGCTAGACTGCAATGGAGTGAAAATATTACGAAAGACAACACTTCCAAAATCAGGTGGACTATCCCTGTTCAGGAAAGATCTCTGTCATCTAATTGCTGGAACAATTAATCGAAAGGGCAACGGAGACATGTTACAGGATGAGCTCTAGCCGAATTCCACTACGACTTAGTGCGATTGCAGGAGTGTACTCGAGCGGAACAAACTGACCACAAAGTACCCTTGGAAGAGTACTCCCGAAGCACTTGAAACTGCCAAGAACTAAAGTTATCTAATTGTTCTAACTGCAAAGGGCGAGTGACTAACCGTACCAGGGCTGATTCTGGTCTGATGAGCGGTTCTAAAAGAATCCATGTCTGCAAGATTTGGCAGGTGAACAAATCAAATGCAATTAATGCAGCTATTCACTACCCAGTTCAAAGAATCAGGTTTGCCTGTTAACTTATTGCTAATAATAAGAAGTTGTGGATAAATTGATACAGAAGGAAATTGTAAATTACTCGAAACACCATGGCGCCGCCACCACAGTCGTTTGTTTCTCCACGCAAGTTTCCTCTCTTTGTGACTATCTATTAGGCGAGGTAAGAGCGGTTGAGCCTAGTAGTGCATCTACGAACGGCCATGGGCGTTGACCAATCTCTCCCAACCCAAACATCTACCACCTAGTTTACGAAAACTGAGAAAAGAACTCCCACGTCTCTCCGGGAGCCCATGTGCTCGATCCACTATCAGTTGTTGCTCCATCCTGGGGAGATGCAATGTGCCCGCCATCAAATGCAATCCAGGTCACCGGATATCCCGAATTGCAGGTGTAAGTGGTCTTTGTGTGAGTCAAGCTGCCAGAGCTTGGCTCCGGCGCGGATTGGGCCTGGCAACCGTTGTTCAACACGAACTTGTCCCGCAGGGAATGGCCCATAGAGATACTCAATATACCATCATCAATACCGTGAATTCCAAGGTACGGGACAGGATCGTTGCCACCATCGCAGCCACTGAGTTGGGCGCCCGAGAGGACGGCAACTGCGCGAAACTTATCGGCCCGTGAGCATGCGAGCGAGTATGTCATGGCACCCCCGAAACTGAAGCCCGTTGCGAAGCGTTGGGACTGGTCAACACAGAGATTTGCTTCAACGTGCTCCATTATGGCATCAATGAACTTGACGTCGTCTCCGTTGGTGTTACCCCAGCCGTTATCGATTCCCTGTGGGGCAACAAAGATGGCGCTGTCTTCAGCTAGGCGCTTCAGACCGTAGTAATTCCAGACACCGGCTTCAACGGTCTGACCCGTCGCCACATCTTCCATGGTGCCTCCACGCCAGTGAAGACCAAAGATGAGCTTGTATCCCTTGCTGCTAGTGTAGCTGTTGGGGACATCAAGGATGTATGAGCGAGTGCGGCCACTGATAGTGACGCTGTAGGTGCCGCTAGTAAGAGAAGACTGCTTGCCGCAACCATCAGAGCCTCCGCTTCCTGGGGATGACACAGGGGTTGACACAGCGCCAGTGGGCGTAACAGATACAAACAAAGGTGTCGTGGACGTCGACTCGAAGTTTTGTTCAACAGGTGCCGTCGTGGAGACCGCCAGGAAAAGCGTGGTGTCAGTTTCCTCGGCAAGATCACAACTATCCTCGGTAGTCTCAGTGACGATCTCTTCAGACTCGTCACATGCTTCATCTTCGGTAGATTCGGCAGCCTCGACAGCCACAGTTGTGGAAAGAGCTGTCATTGGTGTGGCACGATTCAAGAGTTTACCACCATCTTTCAACTCTGTTAGAAAGGATGTATAAGTTATGCTACTTTATGGCAGGTTGGGATGCAAACTCACGATGAGGGAAGCCAGGAATGAGAGTTCTAGATGCAATCGGACTTGCGATGCTAACGGGCTTGGCAGTCGCAAGAGAGGTGAAGAAAAGGAGCACTGCTCCAGTGAAAACCGTAGGATGAACCATGATAAGATCAACTGATCAGGGTTGCAGGAAAGAAGTTAACGAGAGGAAGACACTGAAAGTCGAACTGAAATGAAAGAATGACAACAGCAAAGGAATGTCACAGAGCATCAATAACAAGGTGAGCAGTGAATATAAGAAGGCCGTTGACTCGACATTGAGTCTTTTAAAATTCACCCCATGTATCTGTGTAAACATGCATAGACTTCCCAGTGGCCCGTCAGCCGCTCTCCTTTAGGTTGACAGCGTGGGTTGTCTTGGAATGTTTCAAACCTCAAGTAAACCCACCAATCACAGTTTGTTATGCCGCAAGGCTCAGTCCATCCTGCGGGATGGGCCTCATACATCCAGACTTGTCCTGACCCGCGAAGTAACACCTAGAAAGTTAAGTCGAGATGGAAAGTAAATAGCTAGCGGTGGCGTGACGTTGGAGTCTCAGGTTAAAGACAAGAGCAGCTCAGGAATTGGTGCTTGCCCCAGCAGCGAGATGGGGCACCGGTCCTGATGGGCGTTGGGATAAGATTAAAAGGCTGAATTAGAGGTCAGAGAAGGTAAGTTGGGAGTTTTATACCCTGAAGGTTGAAGATAAAAATTGGTGTATAATTTGGAAGTTGTAAAGAAGCATACAGATCAGGCAGCGCTTACCTAAGATTAGGAACATAACTAGGTTCTATACTAAAGTAGGATTACTATATCAAGAGAAGATAAGAATAGTGTCAGAGTATTCACGGTGGCTTGAATTGGGTTTAGGCTTTGAGCATCGTGCGTAGTAAGAGGATATCAGACCTTCTCCTAGAAGTACATACCGTGGAGCGGATAGAAGTCATTTTCAGGCACCATCGCGGTGTTGTGGCAGTACATGTTGGACAGTTGTGTTTGACCAAACAATTGACATCTGTCATGGCTTGTTAACCAGAAGTGGTGTCGGCTCATTTTAATCCTAGTAGACTGCAGTGCAGCCCCTGAAATGGATCCACCATTTTGTCCTTTTGTTCTCGACCAATCACAATAAGCGTTCTAAGCTGCCAAGCGTGCTGGCATGTAACAAGGTCCGCACAGGTTTGTTCTTTTGTTCTCCGCCAATCCCATGACCTAAAAAGCACGCTTTCTGTGCCCAGATCTTGAACCACTTCCTTCCTCCACACAACTATGGGACCTGCTCTCCTGTAGACCAGACATACCAGACTCATCGGCTTAGACGGAGCACGGCTTTGCACATCTTTCTTTGTTGAGCACCATGCACTCGTCTCCCACCCATGTTCAGCACCGCAGCGCGGAGATCATGGCTCCCAATGCGAGCAACGCCGACGAGTGGGATCGTCTGCGGCACCAAATCTTGAGGCTCTACTCAGATGAGGCGAGGCCACTTAAAGAAATAGTGGAGATAATGCGGCTGAAATATAATTTCCATGCAACGTAAGTGGTCACTTAGACATAATCCTAATACATAGATACTAAGCAATAGATAGACCGAGGATGTACAAGTATCGCCTTCAAAAGTGGAGTTTATGGAAGAAATATAAAGAGAAGGAAGTGGTTCACATGTCTCTACTCAAGCAACAACGAGACATTGCCGGAAAGCAATCTGTCTTCTTTTTACAAGGTAGACGAGTCGATTGGGGAGATATCGAACGATATCTACATCGCAGGCCGGACCTGGAGATGAAGATCAAACTCGGAATGCTCACAACTAGTACCTTAAACTCAAACATAGTCTGTCGCTCGCCGTCGCCAGATCCCATTCTCCATGCTTCCAGTGTTCATCAATCCACAGACGAGCTACTTCGACTTCTCCGCGGCTACTATCACTCAGACCACCATGATATCGCAAAGAGATCTCACCCTGGTCACGCTGGCGACTATTCTACCACTATTCACTGCTACACAAGCCTAGCTCAAGCCCGCACCTTGATCATAGCCAACAACATGAAACCAGGCTTCCAGGCTCTCAACAAGTCCCTCAATTATCTTAGGTCTATCATAGAGGATCAAGAAGCTACTCTTCTTTTCTTTCTGTGCGATGTTATCGTCGTTTTTGATCAGCGATATAAGGCCTTGATATTCGAATTACTGCGGCATATACATGATACGCTATCTGTCATGTTTGGAGATGGTCATCCCTTATGCTCACTCCTACATCGCCTTATTCGTCTATCAGAAAAAGACAGACATGAGGTTATTGCAATCATCCTAAGGGCAGCTTTGGATAACTTGAAAACCCTCAGTATTAGTGACCACATGGTCGAAAGACTCAACTGTCACTATATCTTGTTATTAGAGCACATGGGTATCACGGGAAAAATGACTAAAGAGTTGGTCCCAGAGATAGATGTGGATACTATGGGTGCAGCTGGTATGTCCTATCTCGGTAGGTTTGCTGAGAAGTTGATCCTCAACCATGACTTTGAAGAGGCAGACCGCAAAACTGATATAATGCTCGCATGGCTTGGGAGTCCGCTAAATCAGCAGCATGCAGCATGGGCAGATCTCCGACTTTTTTCCAACCGCCTTAAAGCGTATATCGAGTTCTCTAAGAGTAATTATGTAGTAGATTAGGGTCGATTATCCATTACCGTACTTCGAGACCCTGACAGTTTTCATCGTAGCCATGTTTCGGTTTAATTAGGCAAGAATAGTTGGTTGCTGAGAATTCGCGAGCTTGAATAAGGAACCGTGATTCCACTACGTGAAGTCTGTGATAGCTAGAGTAGGTAGTGACATGTATTTGTATTCATGACCTTGAGTGACACAATTTACTGTGGAGTTTAACACATCATAATGCGAGTATACCTGCGCGATACTGCCATGATTCAATGATGGTAGATCAGAACTTACAAATTACAAATACGCTCATGTGTTGATTATTACCTCAATCCTATGACTAATATCAAAGAAATGTTATATCAAAAACCACGCTCAACCATATCAGAGCTTCCGCCTCCTCATCCGAACAGCGACCTTGCCCTTGGGCGGAATAGTTCCAAACGGAAAGTAATCCATGTTTGGCCTAACCTTACTCGCCGCTTCGGGGTCAACAAGTTCAATGTCAAACGCACGCAGAGCAACTGCCGCTGCCGCTATGAGTTCCTGTTTGGCGAAGAATCGACCAGGGCACATTCTTGTCCCGCCTCCGTAAGGATACCAATATCCCTGCGTTCCATCAAGAGTAGAGCGTGCTTTGCGATCATCCCCTGAGGAACGCCTTGTAGGCTTGTCGGCAGAAGCGGCTGGTCGAACTGGACCGCTGGTCGGGTCGTTCTCGTAGACCAGAAATCTCTCTGCCCAGAACGACTCAACGGGATGTTCTTCGATTCCGCCAGGCTTTACATGTCCAATGTTCCAGAAGTCGGGATCATGGCCGCCAACCCAGGATGAGGATAGCATGCCAACACCCTGCTTGAACTGCCACTTTCCGAATTTGAGATTGGGGATGATGGGTGTTCGTCCAACGGGTGAAGCGACGCGAAGACGCAGCGTCTCGAGGTAGATGGAGTTGATGAGGGGACCGGAGCAGAGTTTTTCAATATCGAAAGAGAGGGACTTGTCGATGAATGAAGGCTGCATCTCGGCCATTACTCTGTCCTTCAGGTCCTTGTCGAGTAAGATATCGAGGAGGATCCACATGCCAGCGGGAATGGCATTAGCATTTACCCTGTGAGCCATTAGTCAAGCCCATAGTCTAAGTTAGTAGTTACTCGACTTACGCCCACATGAGCCCAAGGTCAAGAGCAGCACCACCTCGCGGAGTCATCCCAACGCTCTGAAACATCTTCTGTCTAGCGCCCATCAACTTCGTACCAAACTCCGATGTCCATTCCTCCCTGATGACACCATCTTCATCAGTAAAGTCAAATAGCTGGTTTCCATACTCATGATACCGCAGCATGCTCTCGAGGCACTTGTCTCTGGCCGCATAACTCTTCGGAACAAGCCATCGAGGCATCCGCTTGAAAAGATTGGGAAGCCGATAGTCAAAAACCCAAAAGTCCTCAATGAAAGTCGGCGAGAGTTCGAGGAACTTATCACCACATAGTGCAGTTATTGCAGCGCGGAAAAGGTTGTTCTTAAGCCACTCGTAAAGATCATCGACCTCAGTCCACTCGCCTTCACTGAAACTGGTATCCTTCTCAATCATGTCAGAGTAGACCTCGACAAATTTTGCAGTCATGGAGTTCAGTGGCCCTCCTGTCAAAAGAGCGTGCAAATCACGATGGTGAACAAAGTCAAATCTCTTCGATGGATCAACATGTCCATATTTAGAATCATCATCGACATAAATTGGCATATCACACTCTGGCAAGCCAAACGCATCTCGAACCGTCATGACACCAAGAGACTTGGTAGTCAAGTGTCGCGACGCCTTGAAGAGCTCAATGATAGGCTGGCCATGAGGAATAAAGTACATAGGCTCAGCGCCCACAAAGATACGAAGCGGGACTTTGCCGAATTTGGATCTGGACCCGGAGATCAGTGGAGGAAACAGACTTATCGGCCCGGGAGAACTCACAGGATAGACGATAAGAAGCGCTCAGTGTCGAAAGCGAAGCCAATCGTGTTTCCTACATAAGGGATCAAGTACGGAACCCTCGGGGGCTCTCGTGCGCTTTGACCATGCTGATAGCCATTATTGCCGAAGGACGTGAAGACGTATGTCACGATGAAGGGGAGAATGACGAGGTTGAGGACTTTGAAGTAGGTTGATGTCTCTGTCACTGAGCCTGGATTGGCTGCGGCAGTCTCGCTGGTGTTCATTGTGCCACGGCGAAAGGCGTTGAGTGGTTGAGATTGGATGCTGACATGTTGATTGCCATTTTGACCGCTATCGAAAGCGAGTAATTTGATTGGTAAGGTGGGAGATTTGATAAAACTTTAATGTGAAGGGTTAGCGTGTACGATGCCTGCGACGGGTATGCGAAGATGAATAACCTAGAGCAGATGGTTTATAAATGATTTGACGTCTATATTTCGGCAGAAAGTGACTTGATATTTAAGTTTAAGGGCAGTAAGTAACAGAATTTATTTTCATAGATCTACGTTACATAGAAAGTCGTAAGCGCTAATCATTGTGTTGTTTTGATGGGCGACGCTCTGAATCTATTCCCGTGTCGGCACCAACATCATTATCGATAAGTGCCAAGGATTCACGGATCAACGCTTCGTACTTCCAAGACCTTCTAAACCCGACTATTCCCAGTAGACCTATCAACGGCATTATTCCAGAAGCAATCCTTCCCGCCGACGTGCTTGGCATGTGTCCCGTATAATGCATGACTAATTCCGTAAACTCAATATCTAATAACCTCGATCTCAATCTCACCATTTCCGTATTGACGTCCATGTAACCTTCCATCCCCGTGCCATTCCACAACGCACTTTTGTCCTCCAGATCGCGTGATTCATCCAACAAAAAGTCCAGCAAAACTACAAACATTCCCTCACAGATAAGATAGCGAATGCCGTTATCCGTGCGTGACCCCACAGAGCGCCCCTGAGTAACTTCCCATATCGGACTAATCACATCATGATCTGCATACGGGATACGGAAAATGCCCCCAATCGAGAAGCTCGGCGCCAAGAACCCCGGAGGCCTTTTGTCCAACACTGAGTCCTTTTGTGAATCGTCCTCTCCATTTCTTTGCCGTGTTATCCAGAGGTGCCTGAGCTTGACATTTCGTGATAAGTGATAAGAAGTGATAATTTAGATAAATGAGCCAAATTCACAGAGATCAGAAATTTGGTCTGTCATCCAGTTTCTGGTCTTGTCAAGTCATTCTTTTGTTCTGCTAGGTGCCCCACGTCACCATGTATATCTCCTCCCAAAATCTGGTCCTCGCCTTATCGGCGCTCCCTTCAGCATTTGGCAAATCTTTCTCTCATCATGCCGAAGCTCCTCAAGGCTGGCAGGCTCAGAAAACCGCCAAAGTCGCTTCCAACACGCAGCACGTCTTCAGTCTTGCACTGACCATGCAAAACGTGGACCAGCTCGAATCGAAGCTTCTTGACCTCTCCAGCCCCGACAGCGCCAACTACGGCAACTGGCTGTCCCACGATGAGCTCACCAGCACTTTCTCCCCTTCCAAGGAGGCTGTTGCTAGTGTGACCAAGTGGCTCAAGTCAAAGGGCATCAAGCACTACAAGGTCAACGGTGCTTTCATTGACTTTGCTGCTGATGTTGAGAAGGCCAATACCCTTCTTGGAGGTGATTACCAGTACTACACCAAGGATGGTCAGACCAAGCTGAGAACGCTGTCTTACTCCATTCCTGATCATGTAGCCGATCACGTTCAATTCGTTGATCCTAGCACAAACTTTGGTGGCACCGTTGCGTTCAACCCCGTGCCTCACCCATCGCGCACCCTCCAAGAGCGCAAGGTGTCTCCCTCAAAGAGCACCGTTGATGCGTCTTGCCAAACTAGCATCACCCCTTCTTGCCTCAAGCAGATGTACAACATTGGCGACTACACTCCCGATGCCAACTCTGGAAGCGAGATCGGTTTCAGCAGCTTTCTCGGCCAGGCTGCTATTTACTCTGATGTCTTCAAGTTCGAGGAGCTGTTTGGCATTCCTAAGCAGAACTACACCACTATTCTGATCAACAATGGCACTGATGATCAGAACACTGCGCATAAAAACTATGGAGAGGCTAACCTCGATGCTGAGAATATTGTTGGAATTGCTCATCCTCTTCCTTTCAAGCAGTACATCACTGGAGGTTCACCGTGAGTTTCATTCATTCTATGTCAGGCTCAGAGTTACTAACATGTGCAGACCTTTCGTTCCCAACATCGATCAGCCTACCGAGAAGGATAACCAGAACGAGCCCTACGTGCCTTTCTTCCGTTATCTCTTGGGTCAGAAGGATCTCCCTGCCGTCATCTCTACTTCCTACGGTGATGAAGAAGACGTAAGCCCCATAATATCGTTCCTACCACAAGAACCATCTAACTCTGCAACAGAGCGTCCCTCGTGAGTATGCTGCACTCACCTGCAACATGATCGGCCTTCTTGGCCTCCGAGGTATCAGCGTCATCTTCTCATCCGGTGACATCGGTGTCGGTTCCGGCTGCCTTGCCCCTGACTACAAGACCGTCGAGTTCAACGCCATCTTCCCCGCCACATGCCCTTATCTCACCTCCGTTGGCGGAACCGTCGATGTCACCCCCGAGATCGCCTGGGAGGGATCTTCCGGTGGTTTCAGCAAGTACTTCCCCCGACCCAGCTACCAGGACAAGGCCATCAAGAAGTATCTGAAGACTGTCTCCAAGGAGACCAAGAAGTACTACGGTCCTTACACCAACTGGGAGGGCCGAGGTTTCCCTGATGTCGCTGGACACAGTGTCGCTCCTGACTACGAGGTTATCTACAATGGTAAGCAGGCTCGAAGTGGAGGTACCAGTGCTGCTGCTCCCGTCTGGGCTGCTATCGTTGGTCTGCTGAACGATGCTCGTTTCAAGGCTGGTAAGAAGAGCTTGGGCTGGTTGAACCCTCTTATCTACAAGCATGGACCTAAGGTTTTGACTGACATCACTGGTGGTTATGCTATCGGATGTGATGGC